ATATATATATACATATATATATATATATATATATATTAACTCTCTCTCTCTATATATATATTGGGTATATCTTCATGAAATTTGGCAGTCTTTCAGTTAATATTCCACGTCTTTCACATACAAAAAGTCATATTTTTTAGTGAAGTACTTTTAATAAAATAAAGTTTTGTCCATGAATATATATAGTATTTGTTTTGAATAGTTCATGTGCAAAGTAATTTTCATGTTAAAATCAAAAATACTTTTTGCCATCTCAAAAAATCTCAAATTTCCTTTGTGTAATCCCTAAAACCTAAATGCATTTCAAACATTTTTTTCACTAAATCCTTATAGTTTATTTTTCTACCCTAATCTCAAAACGAGACTGATCAATTTGACCGACATCGTAACCACCCCAAAAAAATCCAAATGAACCTAAATTAACCTTCTTTACTTCCTATTATGACTTCAAATTGTAACATGACACTACATTCGTTTATCCTAAGTAGATCTAAGTTCGTAACATTATACATCTATTTATAATTAAATTTTATTGTTTTATTGCCCTTTGAACCATGTCAAACTGCTATCCGTGCCATTATAAGTTGTAAATCACTCGGGGAACGTGCAGCTCACATTACACTATCAAATTACATCACTCATGAGTTGCTCTGTGCTTGCTACGTGATCAATTTTAGTTATATTATTATTACTTATTTTACCTATTCCAGTCTTGGATAACTTTAAAAAAATCCATACTTTAATTTTAGTTACTTTTATAATAATAAGTAAAGAATAAATATGAAAAACAAGAAATAAAGTACTTACCCATTCTTCTTTTTTCTTGCCCTCGATTGTCGATGAGAGTTAAGCCTGATTTTTTTTAGTGATCGTAGTAAAGCACTTAACGATTGTCGATGAGAGTTAAGCCTGATTTTTTTTAGTGATCGTAGTAAAGCACTTAACAATTTTTATTTAATTAAATAATAAACCAAAGAATATATACTAATAACATGCAAAAATGAGACAAATTCACTTCTAAAAAATTTCCTGGCTTTCTAACTATGCGACAAGAGCCCTTAGAAATTCATCCAAGCTAGTTGTTAACTTTACCACGGGAAAGATGTTGCTACTCTGAGTGAAATTGACGGTTATCTGTTCAAAACACAATGTTATACAATACGTCATTTGATTGATGAAAACCTAGACTTTATATTGGTTATAAATAATATATAATGAAACGTAAGAGAGAACAATCAACCAATTGTGAAAGAGAGGATGTAACAGGAAGGGTCTGATTTTCTCTTTGATAGCTGTGTAACAATACAAAATTGAAGGCCATAAAAAATTATGATCTTTTTGAGCAATAATGATTTTATAGAGAGCATTTTACATTTAATTTCGTACATTCTTGAGGGGGTGATGGATAAAATAGGAATGATGACATGCTAAGACAAAATTTGTCGTGTGTGTGTTACACTAGTGGAAATTCGGGATGTTTTTATATATTTCTTTTTAGAATTAAGAACTTAAAACTTTTATACTATTAAAATATTGATTATTAGCTAAGATTTTGCTACTCTAATTGGTATAACATAAACAAAAAGTAGTTTAATAAAATTTTGAATGTAAAACACTAAAACCTTACGTCATGCGTAGTAAAAGGTACCCGTGCCGATAGGGTTAATATTAGGGATGCACGGGTATTCGGTCAGTTCTGGCTGAGTATTGGTCTACCCAGAAATACTTAGCTCAGGCCGAGTGTAGAAGCTAGGCATCTAAGCCCTAATCTTTGTGGCAACTAATGTGGTTCTGAAAGTTAGTCAGTAATTGGTTTAATTAAAAAAAAACTTGTTCCGAGCAACAAAGACTGTCTGCCTGATGAAAGTCTGGGGATTCAGAAAACAATAGGGGTTAATAACAGGCATGGCTTGAGAAGTGGATTTCTGGAGAAGGTGGGGGGGGGGGTTGAGAACAATAGGGGCTAGGGTTTGAAACTTGTCAAGGGGGAACTTGTCATGATTGACACCCGGTCCCCAGCCTAAGCTTACTGATCCGAACCTGGTAATTGGCCAAGTTTTACGATCTGTGCATTCCTAATTAATACTGTATTTTTTTTTGTTGTTGTTGTTTGCTGTACAATAACTTAGTAATTTGATTATGGAAGATTTATATATTTGCAACTGCATTTAAACACTCGTGTGCTTTCATGGCTGAAAATTATAATTATCTGACAACCTCTACTTTTATGTACTGTATGAAAAGAATTGTAAATTTATGTATAATTTTTAAAATTCCTGCTTTGGCTTGTGCATTTGCCATGATAAAATTTACATTATAACACTTGCTACCCAAAGATAAGATTGAATTACAAATACCACTGATTTAGATCACGAAGTGTGATGTGATACAGGACAAATTAGCTTTGCTAGTAGAGCTAGTAATTATATCAGCCTTACACATGCTCTTATTAGAACTGTGCAATGGCCCATTGCATAGAAAATTTCTTATAATATTTCACAAAACACATTCCTATCAAATCTAAATTTGCACACCTGAGCTGTTTTCATGATGAAAAAAGAGGATAGAAACACTTGATATTCAAAATTAAATATTACGCTATTTGACATGCTACTTGTGTTGTACTCATTGGGTATGCGAGTTTATATGCAACAAGGATGTTGAATTAAGTGCTTCTTGACATATTCAAGGAAACTGTCTTTGTAGTGGGCTGTCATCTAAGACATGTGAAATGTAATGATGGATGGGGCTGATACCCTCATCAGTCCTACTAATAAAACTATGGATAAATTATTCTCTTCAAGGTATATGTTGCTTTTACCGGTAATACAGGAAAGGTCTGACAGAATGAAATTTGACAACTGTTGTAAAAAAAAATTGTTTATAATTTAGAATATTTCATTTTGGAATAGTTACTAAGTTTACTACCCAAACAGTTAACTTTGTTAAGATAGAGGCTGATAGTTTGGTTAAAAATAAAAGCAATTCAGCAGCTGAATTCTGGTACTATTTGAATAATCATTTGAACAGTGTTAGCCCTACAACTTAGGTGGAGACTCGACATCCTATCGATTGCATTGTTACTTTTTGTTGAGTCACTATGGCACTGGATCACTGGTATTTATCTCTCCTTCATATTTGTAAAATATCCAGATACTTAAAAAAGTAATGTTCAAATATTTATACTTAAAAATAAAGGGCTCAGGCATGTTATTTACTCAAAGTTAGAATAGTGTTTTAACATGTAGTAATAATGCTATAATAATGACATTTGTGAAAGTTTTTTCAATATATTTATGAAAGATACTAGGTGTTTGTACATGACTGTACTTTATTTCTATTTTTTATTGGTGTGGCACTGTAAATTGAGTGATTTCGTGTTTGCTGTAAGTACAGCACAGAGGAACTTGGGCCCAAGGATATGAAAGTGGGAAATGCTGACTATCATTGTATAGATTATAGAACATTTTACTACTATGTGTTTGTGAAGAAATATATCGTAAAAGTACCAATTTAGTATTAGCTGTTATCCTTTTATCGCTATGTATTTCTGTAAACTTTAATGTGTCAAACTTCTTTTGTGAAATTTTACATAACTAAGATATTTAAACCATAGTTGATTTTCATAATTCCTCATGACTTATAGTGACAACAAATTCAATATTTTATCTCTAAAGATAATTAGATTAACATTAATGTTAATATTGAAATAAATTAAGGTGAAGTTGTGACAGTGATCCATTCACAAAGCTAACATTTGTATAGCTTTGTAGGAGTAGAAAAATAGAGGAAGTACAGTCACATAGTAATAGCTATTCTTTTTATTTAAATTCTTATATTCTAATAAATACAAAGGAGTATTAAGTGGGATCACCTCACTAGAATTTTACATAATTTTTGTATTAATGGTTATATAATTTTTGAAATTCTAAGTTCTTTAATTTAAAGCTGATTTTAAAAGTATCAAATTGGAGCTTAGTCTTTCTCATGAATAACAGCAGGTATTATTGCACCCATTTTATTAAGAAAACCTATTTTATTTATTTTTGTTGTTGTTGTTTCTATAAATATTAGTGATCAATAGGTTTCTAAAATATTCAATTGAAGCACCTCAAAAGATTTGTGAAATTGAATATTTTTATTACAGTGTTCAAGCTAGTGGCATTTTTTCATCATTATATATTAATAATATGGCTTAATTCAAACACCAGTAGTGGAAAGTTCACATCTCTTCTAATGGTGCTTTCTTTCTTTTTCACAGCTAATATTTCAGGAGACAGATATTTGCACTGCTTGATCATTTTCTTCTCTGGACTTGATCTTAAAGTAGTTCCAGTAACTTGTTTCAAGTGGGATAAAAAAAAATCATGAACTTTTTAATATATTAAAATAATTAAATCAAACTATTTAGTTCCAAATTGCAGAATAGTATATTAATGAAGCAGTTTATAAAGAACTTTCATTTGAAATCTAAAACTGCCATTTTTTAATTTTAAACAATTCAAAGTAATTTTTTTAAATTGTAAACACATTCTAGCTTGAACACTGAATTTTAGAACAATTAGCCCAAGATTCTGCAGTTTAGTAAAGTGTAAAAAGAGAAAGTGGCTTGGATGGGTTCAAGAGGCTCAAGCTGTGCTGATAAGAAGATTCCTTCACAGAAAGACATCAAGAATGGCAAATGTCAGACTACAGAACAAGTCATCGAGACTTTGATTTTCGCCCAGGAGCCTCCAGTTGGTCTTCTCCCATCCTGTTCTAGCAACTGATGATGGAAGACAACACTTGACATCAGCTGGGTAACTGAGTGCTGCTCACTATAAATAAAGCACTAGATAACTACTACAGAATCTTAAGATTATATATCACCATCTACAGTTTCCAAATGAAATCTAGTGCATTTAAGCATAGCTAACAATTGCGTTTGCTCTGCATGTGAAAACATTTTTTTCTTTATGGGTTTATTGTCCGATGCAGAGTTATTAAAGTTAAAACCATAAACTTTAATCTTAATGACGATTTTTCTCGCAGGAATATCATCAAGTTCAAGCCTTGGCTCAACATTAAATTGCAATGGTGCATATACTGGGTTATTTTCCATCCACTTCATTTCAAATCATTTTAAACTTTTATAATATAAGTTATTCAACTTTTTTAGGTTCCATATTCATTGAACTTTACCCTCACAGTGCAAGCTACAACTAATGTTAAATTTCTTGATGTTAATTTCCAGAATAACATTAAAGAGCTGAAAATGTGGTCTGTTTGAAAGAATAATGACAGATAAAGTTAATATTGACTGGTTCAAGTTTTCCAAATTCCTGAGTTTATAATCATACTAATTTTCCTATTGTTTATTGTTTAGGAAGCTTTTTGTTGGAGGAGTCAGCTGGGATACCCAGACAAGTAAGTATTTGTAGTAGCTAAGTATTAATTTTTTTTCTTTATGTGAAGGTTTCATTTTCTATGTTGGATAAGAGCTAAAATTAGGTTATTCAAATAATGGACTTAGACAAGACTTTAAGGTACACCTATCCATTGTTCAGGTAAAATTAAATTCATGTATCAAGGTTAAACTAAAGGTAACTTATAAATCTGGAAGTGATACTAATCAGTTTTTTAGCTCATTTTAACCCTATCTTCATGGGCATGTTTTACTGTACATGTCTTGAGGTTTTAATGAGTTGTATTCATAGCTTAAAATACTTTTTTTTCATGTTATACCAATTAGTATAGCATAGAATCATAGCTAATAATCCATATTTTAATATTACGAAAGTCTTAAGTTCTTGCTTTTATAAGGCATTATTTAAAAAAATCCTGGAACTCTTCTAGTGTTAGAAATGTGTCCTTTTTTTTCCTCTCTAGTCATGTCCTGTTTAATTCATTTACCATCCCTCCAAGAAGTATGTAATTTAATGTAAATTACTAATTATAATGTTGTCATTACTCAGAAATGCATAATTTTCATAGCCTTCAATCTTGTTTGGTTACAGAGCCATCAAATAGAAAATCAGACACTTCCTCTCTTTTGTGATTTGTAAATAGTTCTCTCTCTCGTTTAATACTATATTATTTGTAACCAATAGAAAGTCAAGGCTTTCATCAATCAAATGACTTCTTATATTATGTTGTTTTCTGTATGGAGAATTACCAATTTCCCCTTCAGTACAAGCTTCATTCCCTCAGGAAATGCATCAACGAAGTTGGAAGAATTTGTATTGGTTCTTGTGGCATAGAAATGGGAAATTGTCTGCTTTTTTGCAAGTTATTATTCTATGTACTTTGGTGCATTGCTTAATTTAAAAAATTTAGTGCAGTACTACCATTAGTATAAATAGGTAAAAAAGAATATTTAATGGAAGTTAGGGATTGTTGGTTATTCATAAATTACTATAAGAAGTAGCCAAAACAATAAATGCTGCAATAAAAAATACATAAACAAGTAAAGTGATACTGGTTCGATAGATTTTGAAACTATTTTCAATCCTTACTTTGGTTGGCAAATTTAGACTGCTTCACTTAGCTATATGGATCACAATGCCAACCAAATTAGGGATTGAAAACTATTCTAAAATCCAACCACTATCCCTTTACTTGTTTGTGTACTTCGTATTGCAGCATTTATTTTTCATTCTGTATATTTCTTATAGCAATTCTACGAATAACCATTGATCCCTATTTTCTATTACAATTATTTTTATTTTTATTCCTGTTTATTTGTTCAGTTTTTATATATCCATGGAATGGGCACAACTTTCAATGCAGCCATATTCCTGATAGCTATAACTTTTACAAGAAATAAAACTACAATCACAAATTTGTAAAATGTAGTTCTTACTTTGGCCTACAGGTAAGTGAAAAAAACTGCCAATTATATTTTAATACTTGTTTGATTACTTTTTGTAGCAAGATTTCTACTTCATTTTAACAGCCCCCCCCCCCTCTCACAAGCCAGTTGGGGACATTTTTGTTGAAAAATACAAACCCAATCTGTTTTTTTACTCTGAACTGAAATTATGTTTGGACATTTTTATTGGCTAAAAGGAAGGCATTTCCTGAACACTTTTAGTGGGGTGGCAAAAAGTGATTAGAAGTGATCAGGTGATTGAAGTCCGTCAGCTCATCATGAGCTTAATGGCCAAACACAAAATACATGGAAGTCTCCAAATGACATGACAGGAACTGTTTAGAACCACCTAGATACTGGTAGATACTGTGAAGCAAGCAGAGTACAATATTATGCTTGTAACCGTATTCAAAGTGTTCCTGTCTGCTCATCCTGCTGCTGACTATTGTGTTGCTTTGACCTTTTTTTACTGAATTGCAGGTGAAATTGTTCATATCTAGATTGAAAACTAAACATAAAAAGGTGATAGCTGAAGCATAAAAGATTAGCAATTTCTTATTTAATGATGCTGAGAACGTGGCTTTATTGATGTATACCAAACTTACTCCCAGTGGGTAGACCTTAGTACTAGCTATTTTGGAGACTTGATGCTGTGTTTTATTTAATTTTATCAATTAACAAACAAACAATTTGTCTCAAAGATACATCCAAAACCACCCACTTTGTGAGTTTCTGGATTGAACTTGGTTTTAATAGTCAAAATTCTGAAGACATCCCTTGGATCCATGGGGATGTGTTAAAATTCATAATTTTTTAATACTTTTGTTTGCTTACTTTTTGGTATACTTGTATAAAGTATATATTTTACATTTAGAAACTTTTGGGTGTCTATCCATCGATATGTAGCACCATCTGTTGGGTTGAAAAGATATTTAAGTACATACATGATATGTTTACCATTTCTGAAAAAAAATCTGTATATATTTATCGGAATATCAAAAGCGGATACCCACAGACCAGTCAAGTAAGCTGGAGAAATCTTGTAGTGATAATCTGAGCCATCTAGAGGCTAGCCCAGCTGATGTGATCAGGTAGGTAGTATATGAAAAAGTTGCTGTTTTAGAAATTTTTGAATTGTACCAGAAATGTTAGCAAATTTTTTAGTGCATTATATATACCCAATACTTTGAATGATGGTGGTTTTACAGCTCATGAGTTATTTGGAAACCTTGTCAATCCCTACTGTTAAGTACTACCATACTCAATAATGGAAGGGGGGGGATAGGCTTAAGTGTTTTCAACACCCAAAAAAAGTAACTAAAATGTACAAATAGGAAACTCTAGGTTAGATTGGGTAAAATAAATAATGATAATATAATAAAATGTTTCACAAGGCACACTGTAATGTAATTCAATAGGCCTAACATTAACTGAATATACCTCTTAAGTGATTTATAACTTACAATGGCTCAAACAATAGTTAGACATGGTTCAGAGGTCAGTAAAACAATAAAATTTAAGTATAAAGATTTTATAGCTACTTAGGGTAAACAAATGTAGTTTCATGTTAGAATTTGAAATCATTCTAGAATGAAAAAAGGGTAATTTAGATTTGTGTGGTTATGAAGTTATTCAAATTGACAGACCTTGTGTAGAGTCAGGGTAGAAAAAATAACAAAATATAAGGTTTTACTGAAAAAAGTGTTTGAAATAGGAAGTTTTACAGATGGTGTGCTCAGTAATTTCTGGTTCGTGGGAAGGTGACTACCTGAAGCTTCTGTGGGGATAAACAAAGTAACCTTATTTATTGAATATAAAGTTGATTGTATTGAATAATGTAAATAAGTAAAAACTAATTGTTTATTGAAAAGAAAGTAACTTATTAGATATAGATTAATCTCAACAGAAAATACTGTTAGCAATAAATCTTTGTTTCTGCCTTGTATTTTAAGATTTATTGCCAGAAGGAGTAAAATAGGATATTAACTGAAATATGTTGATGAATATTAAAGTTAAAACTGGCTAGAATATGAAATACAATTTTCTGATTAACAATAAAAAAAATCTTAAGACAGAAGAAATACTTTTAAATGTTTTTCTTTTGTCAAAAGTGTTGCAACAAAATATGGAAATTTCAAAAGTGAAATGATAAATATTAAATGAAGTTATGTGAAAATTTTATTATTATTAAAGCAAAGTGACATGGGTAAGTTTTGAAAAATATTAAATATTAAGTGCCTTATTACTCAATAATTAATGTTCTAAAAGCCTTGACTGATCTTACATAATATTTATTTTTAAATAACTTGAGTTACATAGAATGAAATGTAGCTGTAACTGGCTAGAGCAGTGGAACTGAACTTGGGTGAACAGAAGGTAAACTTTTATGTACTGTCACTGTATGGTGCAAAAAAATTAGCAATTTGAAAATACTGGCATTAATACATGTGGTACTCTTAAAAAATATTCAGGATTTAGCTATGGGTTCAGTTCACTTGTGCATTTACATACAGACTTTACAATTATGTAAAAAATAATACATTGCTCAGTTTCATTTTCTGGAAAACGCAGAATGATACTTTGTACTTGTTACAAACCTAACTTCAGAACTCTTTTCACTCATGATATTTATATAATGTTTATGTGGAATGTGTGTAATATTTGCAGTATCATAAGTACATTTGTTTGCCGATGGTGTAAAAGTAAAATAACATAATGAACAGTATTTCTGATCAAATAAGATAACATTAACCTGCTATGTATGTATGGGTGGGGGTCACAGTGAGTATGTCACTGATTTAACTCAAACTATGATAACCTGAATGCATTATCTTGCATTTACTATAATTGAAACCCATCTGCCACTTACTTGCCCAACCTAGTATTACATTATTTATAACCAGTTGTAAGAGAATTTTAATTTGCTGAATTATGTATAGTGCCAGCTTATTCTGATGACAACCTTTGAATTATTCAATGTACAGATTTGAATTGTTATCTCAGAGTTCACTTTGAACGTGGTAACATGACTCAATTTTATCAGTCGTCTGAGTTGAATAAAAACTTCCTTGAATGACCAATTTAAACTCTGGAACAGACCCTTACACAAAACATCATTGCAGTTTACTATACATTTATTCATGCCCTCAGTACACATGTAATGTTGACTGATTCTCGACCAAACTCGTATGTAAATTCCCTAACTATAAACTCATAAATTTGCAAATTGAAACTCAGAATTTTCATAGTTGTTCCTCACAGTTGAAACACTGATTTCCTTTCATTTATGCACATATAGGCCTGAGACATAATCAGTCAAGTCTAAGAAACACAGAAGGTGTAGCTACCATGAAAAAAAGTGGAAAATCCACGAGTAAAACATAGCATAATAATAATTGCAAAAAAATATTTTGTGAAAGTTTTGATTAGTACAAAACAAGAGTAGCAATAAATAAACAAAGGCTAGTGTTACTCCCAGAACAATACAAACTATGAGTGTGAAAGACGGTTCATATCAGCGGTATGTCTGCAGTACTCAGACATTGTGTACGTATTACAATATAGTAGTGTGCATGAGAGTTCCAATGCAAGTCTAGTCTTACTGCAGGCTCTACTTTACTGTACTTGGCAGGCTGGCCAAGCAGGTTATAATAAAAACTGAATATGATTCTCTGAGATCTCTGTTCTGTTTAAAAGTGTACAGGTCATTGATTGTTTGTTTCCTTAAAATACTATGTAACATTGGCATGGTTTGGGCTTTTTTTTCCCAATGTAAGGAAACTTTCCATGAAATAAGGCTTCAAAAATTGCCAACTAGACTAATTGTACTTTTTGGAAATAAAATAAAATATGGAAAGATCAAAAATCTTATAATTGGGTCTTTTTAAGGGTCTTTGTATATCAACATTGTCTTAATTGGATATTTTTTGAGGGTCTGTTTTGTTTTTATGGACAACCTTTGATACAGGCTTATTTCCTTATAATCAAACCCTGTAAGAAAATTTTAATGCACTTATAGCTCAGTTATAATGCCAGTTAAGTTATAGGACTGGGACATTGTATTGTGCATGTTATTTTTTTGTTCTAGACTGAATATTTGAAATAAATTTAGTAAAATACTAACCACAACTGTACTCAAAATTGGGGATAACTTTTATTGAGACTGAGTACAAAAACATATGACCAACATGTGAGTACTAAACTAGTTTTTATGCATATTTTTTCATTTATGTTTATAAAAGTAACACATTTGAAAATTAGAAACTTAACCCTCTCAACACAGGCTTGGCCAATTTGTCTGACCATGTGACCTCTTTGTACTTGTTTAATGTCTTCATAGACTTAATACCTCTAATTTTCAATATAGTGTGTATAACTTCACAAAATCTGGCCTTCTTTCAATTAACGTTATAAGTCTCACGTACAAAAAAATCATGTTTTTAGTGAAGTATTTTTAATAAACTAGAATAATAACATGCAATAAGTTGACAATTTCGTCTAACTCAAAATTTTTCTGGATTTCTAACTATGCAACAAGAGATGTTACAAATTCAAATAAGGTAGTTGTTAACTTTTCCATGGGAGTGAGTATTGTACTCTGAGTGAAATTGAAGAAATTCTACTCAGAACACAATGTTATACGTCATTTGGTAAATTAAAACCTTGACTTTCTATTATTTATAGGTAATATATAATTAAATGTAAGAGAGAATTATTAACAAATCCTGAAAGAGAGGGTGTGGCAGGAGGGGTCTGATTTTCTATATGATAACTATAACCAAACAAAATTGAAGGCTATACAAATTATGGTTTGTCTGAGCAATGACAATTATATAGATGTAACTTACATTTAATTTCGTACTTTTTGAAGGAGTGGTAGATAAAGAGAATCTTATCTAGAGAAAATGCATCACACTAGGGGAAATTTGGGAATTTTTTTTTAAATATTGCCTTTGTCAAATGCAATAAAAGATACCTGTGGCAATAGGTTTAGTTATGAAACATTGCTAAGAAAATTAATCAAGTCTCGGTGAGTATGCATATGAACTGTATAAGCATTATGCAATTCAATATTTTGTTTACTCTAGCTTAAGCTATGTACTCACTTTGTAACAACAAACCATCTGAGTTTCCATACTCTTTTTAACTTTTAGTATTTTTACTAAAGATTAGTTTGATAGTATAGAAAGTCAATGCTCATTGCTCTGAGTGCAAAGTGACTTTTATGTTAAGATTAAAAAATACTTTTTTCTAAAAATTATAAATTTTCATTTTCATAACCCCTCTAACTTCCTAAATAAATTTCAAATTTTTTTTCAGTAAAACTTTATATTTTGTTATTTTTTCTATCATAACTCTATATGTACTGTCAATTTAACAGTTAACCACCATAAAAAAAAAAGGAAAAATAGATAAATCCAGATCACTTTTCTTTGAATGACTGCAGTTTGTAACAGAAACTACATTTATCCTAAATAGCTTTGCTCTCAACCGTCTACATCTATTTGTACTTAATTTTATTGTTTTATTGCACTTTGAACTGTCTAACCTAAAAAGTTTCAAAGTATTACATTTTAGTAACTTTTATAATAATAAAGAATATACACAAAAAATGGGAAATACAGTACTTTGACCTCTTGTTCTTTTTTCTGTGGGTTATTGATGAAATTTAAGCCGACTTTTATACTAATGGTACTAGTACACTAAGTAATTTTTATTTATTTGAATAATGTACCTAAAACACAGAATAACATGCACAAAGCAAACAATATTCTATAAATATTGTAACTTAACTGGCTTTCTAACTATGATAGAAGAGCCTTAAAATAATTCCTAAACTTCTCAATCTGAACACTGCCAAAGAAACTTTCAAACTGAAGACAAACAGATACTCAATTGAAGACAGTGTAATATAATGCATCATTTGATAGGTTAAGACTGTTTTTTCTAATAGTTACAAGTAACAATGTAAAATGTAAGAACAATTAGCAATTTGTGAAAGAGGATGTGATATGTGGGCGAACAAGGGAGGTCCAGTTCAATCAACACTTTGATCAATGTGTTATTGGGTTATGCTAGCTTTGGAGAATTCCACTTCTCATCCCTTTAACTTTTATCTGAAAATTCTCGAATTTCATTTGCATAATCTTTCAAACCTCCTAAATAAAGTTTAAACTTTTTCTTTCTGTAAAATTTTATTCTTCAGTAAGCATCGAGTCTTTTGCAGACAAAAAATTTTAATGAAGTATTTTCTCTAAAAATTTCTGCATGAATATATGGAATCAATGTTGATTGCTCTGAGTGTGAAGTGACTTAAAGATTAAAACTACTTTATCTGCAAATTCTCAGATTTCATTTGCATAATCTTTCAAACCTTCTAAATAGATATTAAACATTTTTCTTTCTGTAAAATGTTATCTGTAGAATGACCTCAAATTGTAACATGAAGCTACATTTGTTTATTTTAAATAGCTTTGAACTCGTAACAGTTTGTCTGTTTATTCCTAAGTTTGATTTATTGCCCTTTGATCCGTGTGTAACTAATAACTACACCACGCAAGTTGTAATTTACTTGGCAAACATTTAATGTAGCTCACTTTACTGTATCAAATTATGTAATTTACAGGCTAGTTGCTCATGAACTACCTTGTATAAAAATTATTTTGTCTAATGCAACCAAAAATATTATTTACTTGTATAAAAATAAAGAATACACATGAAAAACCAAAAAAATATAATACCTGGTTCTTTCCTTGCTGTCAACTGTTGATAAAACCTAACCCTCCTTTTTTTATACTAATGGTATTACTGTACTAGTTTTTTGTTTAATTCAATAATGCACAAAAGAACACAGAATAATATGTAAAAAGCAGACAAAGTCCTGTACCTATTGCACTTTTCTGGCTTTCTATTTTTATGACAAGAGCCATTTAAAAATTCAACTAAGCTCATTGATGTCTTTCCAGTGGGAATAAAGTGTTCTGGTACAGAAAACAGCATAATGTAATACATCATGTGATAGATGAAAACTTTGACTTTCTATTGGTTATAAATAATATAGTATTAAATGTTGGAGAAAACTATCGGCAATTTGTAAAAGGGGGGATATGACAGGTGGGTGTGGCTAGAGTTGTCAGATTTTCTATATTATGGCTGTGTAACCAAATAAGATTGAATTTTATAAAGAAAAATAAAAAAATTATTCTTTCCCCAATTAATAACAATAAATTTCATACTTTTTGGAGGAGTGGTAAATGATTTGGAGAAGAGGGAATACCTTGAGAACAAATGTCAATTCTCATACTAGGGGAAGTTGAAGATTTTTTTTTAATATTGCTTTATGAAATTAAGAACTCAACTTGTATACTATTAACATTTGGATTATTAGCTATGTTTTGATGCCACATTTATTTGTATCCTGGAAAACCTTGACATGCACAGAAAAGATGCCTGTATGGAATGTTAAATATTTCCTTTTAATAGAAGTTAGCAACTTAAAGCTTAGTTGATAAAATAGTTTAATTAAATTTTGAATGTAACTAAAAGTTGTGACCTGCTCACTTTGACTTGCATGTAGTAAAAGGGTAAGTCCTGAAATTACATTGTGTAAAAGCTAACATTCATAAAGTAATAAATGTAATTTAGTATGATTTTAATATTTTTATTTTGAAAGTGTGTCATTCTGATTGTAAATTGAGTCTAAGCCAAAATATGTTTTATAATGTTCAGAACTAGGTTTAGACATTTATTAGTGTTTGTAGATATAAAAAAATAAATTATACACCTCTTTTCTTTTTACCTTTTTTTCCTAAGATTGTTCCATTGCTGTGTTTTATTACATATGCATACTATATTTTTGCTGTGTAGATGTACATCAGAGTAATTTACTGCTTTTTCACAGATGATTTGAAGAATTACTTCTCCAAATATGGTGAAGTAACAGATGTAAACATAAAGACTGATCCTAACACTGGAAAGTCTAGGGGATTTGCCTTTGTTACATTTGCATCACAGGAGTCTGTAGAAGCTGTAAGTGTTTAAAGTTAACAGTGTGTTTGTGTACTCAATTGAACATTTTTTTTAATACAGTGTGTACTTCATATAAATTTTGCATTTCCTACAGATATTTAACATGTTTAGTGTCAATGTATGAATATTTTAATGGAACTCGTTAAGGGTGAACAAACTGGTCTAAAGATTATTGTACCTTTCGGTTTATTTTATATGTTGGTTGTAGTAGATAAATAGTTAAAGTGAAATATGATCTAGCACTTTTAACCCAAAAATACTCTTACAAAACCATAATAATATGGAAAAGACTACTAGGCTCCAGTTAAGACAGTGTTATTTATATCTTGTGAGGTGAATTGCAGTTGGCAGTAGTGGAGACTGCCACATTAGAATTATAAAACATTTTGAGGGTAGTAGGTAATTTAAATTTTTACTTTTTTCTCTAATAGAGGTAGGTTTTGCTGGAACAGGCTTGAATTCCTTGGCTATAGTTATGAGGCTTAAAAATACCTTGTTAGTGATGGTGGAAATGTGCATTATGATATATTGTAATCTTAAAGCATCATGGTTTAAGTAAGTGTAGTATAGAAAAAATTGTTTCTGATTATCCTAGTTGGTGAATTTGATGCATTGCAATCCAAAGCCTAATTTTTCAGTGAAGGTTATATATAAATTTTTTTTATGCTTGGAGGTTATTCTTTGCTACATAAGGTTTTTATTGTATTGAGTAGGTGTTTAAAGATGGAACACATACTGTAAAGGGAAAACAAGTTGACCCCAAAAGAGCTAAAGCCAGACCTGGAATAAAGAAAATTTTTGTTGGCGGACTTGATCCTGAGATGTCTGAGAATGATATTCGGACATATTTTGAACAGTATGGCAAGGTACAAATGTTTGTGATTCTTTCATTGTTGATCTGTCACCATTAAGGTTGAGTTTTGTAGAATGAATAAATAATGTGTAGTTCTATACAAAATATTAATTTTTTTTGTAATCCATCAAAAAATTGCCTCAGGCACTTTAATCTTAGAATCCTAATTTCCTTTTTTTGTTGTATTTTAACTGAATAAAAACGGATTTTTATGAGACTAGCTCATGACCCACTCACAGGCCTGTGGTAGCATTTAATAGAAAGAACCCAGGTTGGTTTATGTTAGTTATTTACTATAAAGCAGGCATGTGTAACATATGGCCCATGAGCCACCCAGTAACTTTTCTTTTCTGTAATCAATCTAGGAAAAAAATAAAATTACAAGTGCCTACAAACTGATAGAATTTTCATTTGTATTATTCTATTTTTGTCGTAATGACTATTACTGTGTATATAAGAGTAATCACCATTGTACACTGTCAAACTGTGTGAAGTGCTGTTACAAGCTTGTCAATATTTTTCTTATATAAGGGTAATCACCATTGTACACTGTCAAACTGTGTGAAGTGCTGTTACAAGCTTGTCAATATTTTTCTTATGCAAACAAGGGTTTTACTAAAAGAAAAATTGAAAATTCTCTGTACAAAAAAAATTTAATATAATACATCATTTCATAAATAAAAAAACTTGGCTTTCTATAAAAGAGAACTATTAACAAATCCTGAAAGAGTGTGTAGCAAGAGGGGGGGGCTGATTTTCTATTTGATGGCTCTGTAATCAGACAATATTGTACACTAGGAAAATTATGCTTTGTTTGAATAATGATGATATCATTGTACTTATTGGAGGGGTGGTGAACAAATTAGAGAAAAGGAGGATGCCTAGACAAAAGTCATTTCTCAGAAGTTCAGGTTTTTTTTTTTTTTTCTAATATTTCCTTGTAAGTTTAAGAACTTAATCCATACTTTAATATTATATACGTTATCAGCTACGAATGCATCGGATCCACCTACTGTTATGGTATATGATTTAAAACACTATTTTTCATAACTTTTATTATTTGAATAATGTTCTCATTCACTGTATATTCTACTACTATATTTGTACCCTTTTTATGGCAATAACAAGAAAGTTTGCTAATGAAATTGTAGTCTTTTTAAATTTTACTCTTTCTTCATATGGTGTAGCCCGCAAGTACATTTAAAAATTGCTATCTGGCCTTAGCCCTGAAGGAAGTTGCACTTCCCCATCCGAACCTTCTTCAGAAAGTGCTACTTGCCTGTTTATGGTTGTAGGATGGTCTTGCTGACCTTTCTGGATGTGTGCATCTATGCACTTTACATGTCATTTTAAACATTGCATGTTTAATACAATTTCACATCTGAACTGCTGGCGTCTGTTAAAAATGTAGTTTTGCCTACCATCCGTCTCGTGGATCCTTCATTTTTTTAATGTTCTCAAACCTTAGCCAGGCAAATTCTTTTAGTCATTGTTTAAACTTTTCTTTAACCAAACCCTTTGCAAGATTTCTTGATCATTTTTTCCTGTTGGCATATCTTCATTGCTGTGAGTTATGCATAAATTAAAACTTGTGTTTTTACAAGCAGTTTTTAACTGCACTGTAGGGTTCTGCAAAAAAGATCAAAGTATTCCCCAGGTTCTTATTCTTTCAGGGGGGGGTGGATTATCTTGTTGAATGCCTCCCAGTGGCACGTGGTATATCTGCAGACTTACAACGTTAAAAACAGGGTTTCGATACTTGCAGTGGGCAGAGCACAGACAGCCCATTGTGTAGCTTTGTGTTTAACTTCAAATAAACAAACAAACATCTCATTGAAAATGGATATTTAGTCACAGATCAAACAATTTGGCATTTGCCTTCATTGTCAACTAGAAACTACTCTACATTAACTCATTTGCTTCTTAATTCTATGGCCTACACTCAGAGCGAAGGTAATGCCCCTCTCATCTTTGCAAAAATAAAAGTAGTGGGTGAAATTGTTTGAAATTTGACAAAAAAATGAAATGTCTAAAATTTACAAATAGAAATATGTACATACCTTTCAACTCTTTGTATGAATCCACTAGAATAGTTGTATTTTTCTCAATTTCACATCTTTTATTTTTTCACTTTTTTTTTTTTTTTTAAATTGTCCTTCCAAATTCTTCATCTTCTATCATTTATATCAATGTGTCAACTGATGTCTGTGGGGCTTTAAGTTATTTCAGCAGACTCCTTGCAGAAAAGTGTTGCCTTATATATGCCATCTTAATTATGAGCTTTCACAATCCAGGCAACAAGATGAATATATTTTAAAAAATCATTAAACTGTTCAAATAAGATTTTAAAAATGCATAA